ATTTTAGGGTTTGAAAGGCTGATGATATTATATATAGAATGGGATTGGCAGGATTGAGGTAAAGAACTTCTGCAGTAGAAAACCACCCTTGTAGTTTGATTACTGCATATCTGTTATATATGCTTTTAACATGTGTTTTAACCTCTGCTATAGCTAGACTGGATTATTAATAATTTAAATGTGTCAACCTTTGGATTTTGAAGTTCGCAATCACTCATGTATTGTAACTTCAATGAGAGAGGTCTCAAGACTCTAGAATACCAGCCTCTGGATTCTGTTCGTAAATGATTGTTTTCCCCAGAGATAGGATACCAACTTGGATTGCATTCACACGGTATATTTATGGTACCGAGAATATTGGTTTGTATGGAGAAGAATGTAGGTTTGTATATTCGTCCTTCAGATATATATATATATATATATATATATATATATATATATATAGTGTGTGTGTGTAGGGATTAAGAATTTAAGACCCTAACATGGACTTTTTTGGCTTGCCTCAAGGGGCTTGGTACAAAGGCGGTTCGTAGAATCATGAATGCAAAATGTTTTACATTGCATTAGCTATTTGAAGTAATGCAATTGGAAAAAAAGGAGATTGAGGGTTTTATATGCTTAAATGTGTTTAAAATTTTTAATTGTCCTCCTTGGAAGCCTGAAGGGGAGCTTCTCCCTTGTGTGTGCTTTTCTTTATTGCTTCATCATTTTCTGAGCTCTTGCCTGTGAATTTTGTTTCTTACAGGGTGGCACCATCTAGAATTCATGTCACATGTGCACTAGTGTATGAAAAAACACCAGCAGGAAGGATTCACAAAGGAGTGTGCTCAACTTGGATCAAGGTACACTGTAAACATCATTTTTATTAGTTTTATCTTTAAAAGTGCTAGGAATGTGTGGGTTATTTTGTTAGGTTTTTCACTGGTTTGTGATTTACCCTTGTCGAACAATGCCTAGTATGCTTTAACTAATTAGAGTTCACTTTCTTGCAGAATGCAGTGCCTTTTAATGAAAACCACAGTTGCAGTTGGGCACCCATTTTTGTGAGGCAATCTAACTTTAAACTGCCAATAGATAATTCCTTGCCAATTATCATGATTGGTCCTGGCACAGGGCTGGCTCCTTTCAGGGGATTTCTGCAGGTCTTTGTTGGTCATTTGGTTTCAGTTATTTACCATTATACTCTGATAAAGTTGAGTCAACTAAACGAGTTCAATAATTCAGGAAAGGGCTGCTCTGATGGAAGCTGGAGCAGAACTAGGAACTGCAATCCTCTTTTTTGGATGCAGAAACCGTAAAATGGTATTGCATATTTTCAGAGGATATCTATTATGGTTGCCTGGAAGACAATTCAATGGCAAAATTTTGATCCAAGCTGTTACTGCAGGATTACATCTATGAAGATGAATTGAATGGCTATGTCAATTCTGGTGTTCTGTCTGAGTTTGTTGTTGCTTTCTCACGAGAAGGACCAACCAAAGAATATGTGCAGCATAAAATGATGGAGAAGGTATGAGTCTATGTGTTTTCACTTCTTACTCTTAATTCAAATTGGGATAGTAAGGTGGAATATGTAAGTCGGGATCAGGTAGGCACACACCATGAGCACACTAAGCAGTCAGAAAATTTTCTGATTCCCATCACATAAATACCCCAGCCTACCCTTGAAACGATTAAAAGAAAATTTCTAAGACAGCGGTTAAAATATTTATCGAGTGTTCACTTAGTGTGCTTACAAGGGTGTGCCTACTAGATCCAGACTCAGAATATGTACTCTAGATGACCTATCATGATAGTGTGATGCCATCTTTTCTCATCTTACAGAGGCCCAAAAGGGTTTCTTTTCCATCATCTCCTGTGGCACTTGACCCCACAACCCCTGGCTCCATGTCTAAGAAATCTCACCTTATCACTTGTTAGATGGATTGACAAATTTTACAAATCCCTCCAGATTGAGTTAATTAACAATTGCACATGTAGAATCGGATAGACTGTGTAGTGTAGATATGCCCGGTCAATGTGGCTGGAAATGTGTTTGGGTTTTCAACTTTTTCTGGATAATCCTGCTGAGATTTCTCTTTCCACACTTGAGATGGTGCTAACCAATACTTGTTTCTTCTCTAGGCCTCAAATGTCTGGAATATAATTTCGAAGGGTGGTTATATCTATGTCTGTGGTGATGCCAAAGGCATGGCTAGGGATGTCCACCGCACGCTCCACGCCATTGTCCAAGAGCAGGTACTTTCCAGAAAGGGAATCTAATGTTTGATTATTACACGTATGGATACTACACCCTCTACGTGGGTAAGCACTGAGCCATTTATGTAGACACGCAAAGGCAAAAGCCTACCAACCAACCAGTCTTTCTCACGTGAAGGTTTAATTAGCCTCATGTTGATTAGGTTAAATAGCCTACCAACCAACCAGTTGGATCTGAAGCATTTATTTGTTTGTTGTTGCACCTGAAAGTTCTCTAGGATATCAGTTCATCCCACCTAAGCTGTAGCTTAGCTACTCTCTATCACCTACCTTTCAAATATTAATTGGTTGTTCTGGGAATTTCGATGTGTTCTCAGGGATCTCTGGACAGCTCCCAGGCGGAGAGCATGATCAAGAATCTACAAATGGAAGGCAGGTATCTCCGTGATGTGTGGTGATTTATCTTCAGATCGGCTCTAGCAGGATAAAAAAAAAGGATGGCCGAGTTTTATTTGTGGAGGCCAATCCGCTGCATTTGAACAGAAGCTTATGATAAATGGAGGTGACCAAGTCGCCCATGCTACCTTCATTGCCGTCGTTAGAGGAAAGCCTTGTTTTCAGTTGTTGTTGTGGTCGATTATCTGATTCTTTTCTTTTCTTCTCCTCAGAGGATTTTGTTCATACAATTTATATCGAGTAAAAGACGTTTTTATTTTTCATTTTTTTTAAAATTTCAAATAAAGGCACTAAACTGTAACATACTAAAATAAAACGAGATGGGATGATTTACATTGAAGCAAGAAAGTCTATGGTTCCTCTCAAGTTCTCTGATGTTGTCATTGTGAAGGCAGCTCACCTGAAAAGGAAGTTTTAAGAAATAACAGACAATACATCAGTCTTGATTTTTCAGCTTCAAGGCTTCAATGCTTAGGTCATCCAATGAAAGGCCATCAAATTTTTATAACTAGAGAGTAGTAAATCCTTGCAAACCATTTTTAGAGAACTCATAGGTTATTAAGTGGGTTGGACTGCTTGGGATTGCTCTCTTCTGTTGTTTGGAGCATGATCACTCTTTCTTCCGAAGCCATACTTAACAAATCTCCTAGTGGAAGCTGTTAAGAGTTGTTTTTCCTCCATACTATGACTCTTAGGGGGATATTCTTGGGTCTTGCCTAAATTAAGAATAGATTTATGTTAAATAGTAGTGAAACAAGAGAAATTACAATCATGTAAAAAGACGATGTATAATTAGGTAAAACGTAAAGAATCAGGTGGGAATTTCTTCAATCGATGCCACAATGTTGCAATTCCAGAGTGTAATTCTCCTTTTCCTGTAATTTTCATTCAAGCACACACATGAGAGATGAGAAAGGAAAATTCAATAAACCATGGGAAAATTGAATGAGAACGGGAGATGGTCAGATGGGATGATTAGTGCTACGACTCCCGGATTATATTGGGGTTTGGTTTTGGGTAAGGGGCAAAATCGAGTTTTCCTAAAAACATTATCAGCACATGATAACATGTTCAAATGGATCTTGATGGTTTGATAATGGAAGGGGGGTGCTTGTTTGATGACATCACTTAACAAGAGATGTCTTGGTCCTTTTTGAAAATAGAGTTATTTTACCCTTTTATATAGACACAATAATGTTATAGTGTGCATTCTATTAAAACAACCCATATATTGTCAGACAGAAGTGGAAAATGATGGTTCCGTTTTAGCAAATTTAATAAAAATGTCATTTTTGTCCCTGATAAAATCCAGAGAAGCACTCCGTTCAATAATTTTTTTTTTTTTGAAGAAAAGACACGTTGCAAACAAACAATTAGGAATCATTGTTCTTCTTCATTCTAGAGGTGTAAAGTGAGCCAGGCCGGGCCGGGCTGGTATGACACGGCCCATAGGAGGCCCGTGCATAGTGTGGGCTGGACCGTGCCCCGTGCATAGTGTGGGCTGGACTGTGCCACTTTCCTCGGTGAAAAATTTAGGGGTTGGCCTGGCACGGCCCACAGCCCAAGCTCATGTGGGTCCGTGCTGTGCCACAGGCCGGGTTGGCCTGTGGGCTAGGTCGGGCCATGCATCGAGCCAAAGTTGTTTATTTAGAAAAATGACAAAAAACTTAAAATTTTATTTTTATATGAATTTTGTGTATACAATTGCTTATATATCATAGTTCAAAATTGGACCGGACCAGAAAAACTGGGAACCGGTCAGGTGACTGGTTTCGTTTTTCCCATAAACTGGATTTCCCCCAAAATCGTTGATTTTGGTCAGCGAACCGCTGAACCGGGCGGTTAACCGTTTGAACGGTTTTGACCATTTTTATTTTTTTGTCAGAACGGGCCAAGCGTTTGGTTCTAACGGTCCGACTATTCGAACCAATAACCAGACCCTTGACCGTTTCGGTTTTAAAGACCATATTATATATACAATAATTAAATAAATTAGTATAATAAAATAAAAAAAAATATTTATTTTATTAATATATATATTATATATTATATATTATAGCAGATCCCTACATATAGTTTGTATATAGGTAAAAGAAATTTGAGAGTCTGAATCAGGTAGGAACGCCATTGTAATCACCTTAAATGATTACTTTCAATTTATTTCCACACCCTCAACCTACCATTGAAAAAGATTAAAGTTAACTTTTAACGGTTGTCAGTAATTCCTATGTTGTACCTACTCGGTCCGGTCCCTTTTTGATGGGAGGGGGTGTGATTTTTGGTGGCTTTGGCTTGCAACGTGTCATGTTGAGGTTAGTAAGAGTAATGATGAAAAAGGGCTAGGTTTGAGCTGGGTTACAATATAGGATAATACCAAAATTGATCAGGAAAATTGGACAAATCCGCTTACACTTGACAACTCTTCTTCACTAACCGAAAGTAAGGATCTCTATTTATAGGGAAAGGTAGAGGTGTAAATTGGGTCGGCATAGCATGAAGACCCAGGTCCATCACGGAGGTTTATGCCGTGCTGGGCCAAGGGTTTAAGGCCCATGGACCAGCATGTCGTGCTGCCCGCAACACGGCACGAAGCACGACCCGCTAGGCCCATAGCGGGCTGCGCTCAGCCCGCTCGGGAATATAGCGGTTGGGCCCCCCTCCCAAAGGGGCCCAATGGCTAGTTTCAGCTTTTGGGGGGGTTTACAGAAATACCCCCTAATAGCTATAAACAACCATATTAAGGGGGTATGTCTGTATTTTACTTATGGGGGGTTGAAAAAATGACATAAATGCCCCCCAATAGCTATATAACAACTATTTTAGGGGGGCATTTTGGGTAAAGTTATAAGTAACTTTACAATGACCAAAATACCCCTCCCAACAACTAAATAACATATAGTTTATTGGGTATTTTGGGTAATTGAATCATGTTCAATTCCTATAAATGGCCTTATCCTCCACCATTCTCATCACACCAATTCAACAATTCTCTTAATCTATTCTCTCTCTCTCTCTCTCTCTCTCTCACACACACACACACACACACACATACTCATACATTCTCAATTATCTGTAATATGAAAAATTATGATTAGCTGATTTTCTGATTCTGCATTCTCCATAAGTCTCAACTTTATTGAAGTTTCGACTTTCAACAAGAAAAAGGTTTGCTCAACCAGCTCAAGTATCTCAATTCAGGAGGCTTAAACGTTGAAAGGCTTCAACCGTTGAAGTCAAGTTGGGATTTTGAACCAGCAATCCGAGTAAGTCGAATTAGATTAATTTTTATCTTTTTAGAATTAAAAAAAATTATTGGCTCTTCTCAAAACCGATTCCCCAACATGTTCACCATGGATGACATTCAATCACATCACGATAGTGTTAGCACTGATGCGATTGATGTCGATGGAAGTGGAACTTTCACCCCCGGTAGTAGTGATAATAGGGGAAAAGGAGGGCTTCTAAGTTAAGTAGCCCGGTTTGGAAAGTTTTCAAAGTAGAGGATATTGAGGGGAAGTGGAAAATGGCCATTTGCCAAAAATGTAGGAAAGACTTTAATTATCATAGCAAGGGTGGTACGGGTCATTTGAGCAGACATTTGCTTACACATGAGCAAGAGGAAGATGAAGGGAGAGAAACAACCCAAACACAGATTGGGAGAGGGACTAGTTTTGGTACTTTTAGATACTTACAAGAAAAAATGAGATAAGAACTTGCCAAGTATATTGTACATGCAGAACAACCATTTATATTAGCTGAAAATCCAAGGCTAGAAAAATGGTTGCGTAGTTCTGTAAACCCACAATATAAAAAAGTTTCTTGGAATACTATAAGAACTTATGCTTTAAAAATTTTTTATTCATATAAACAAAATTTAATTTCTTTGTTAACAAATCTTAATTCTAAAGTTGCAATTACTTCGGATGTTTGGAAATCCAAATTTAATATTAGTTATATTTGTGTTACCGTCCATTTCATTGATAAAAATTGGCTTTTGAATAAAAAAAAAATTAAGTTTTACTAGGATCGAATGGCCACATAGTGGCCCAGCTATTACCGCAAGTATTTTAAATACTTTGCATGCTTATGGAATAGAAAATGATTATGCAATAAATATTTTAAAATCTCAATTAAAACCATGCTTAAATGGTAAATTATTTCACATTAGATGTGCATATCACATCTTAAATTTATGTATTCAAGATGCCTTGAATATTATTTCTACTCATATTTTAGAAATTAGAAATTGTATTATATATATGAAAAGTTTAGGGGCAAAAAAACAAGAATTTAAATATTTATGCCAAAATTATGGTTTGAAATATAAACATTTTATATTAGATGTAAAGCATAGGTGAAATTCTACCTATGCTATATTAGAAAGTTGTATATCTCATAAATAAATTCTTTCTGATTTTTATAATTCAAAAATGCCTAATGATATGATATTTGAGGAAGACTAGAAAATTGCAGTTTGTATAAGAGTTTTTTTAAAACATTTTTATGATGCTACAAATGAATTATCTGGAATTTATTATACAACTAGTTGCAATTTACCATATCAATTAATGGTAATTAGTGATTGTTTTGCTAAATATAGAAATAATCCACAATTTCAATGTATTGTTGAAATTATGGAAAATAAGTTTAAAAAATATTGGGAGAACATTTCTCCCCCTTATTGTTTAGCTACAATATTAGACCCTAGGATTAGGAAAGATGGTTTAGATATTTTATTTGAAACATATTATGAAAATATGAATATTGATATAGGAAATAAAAAAGAAGAAATTAATAATTTATTATTTGAAATGTATAATTTGTATGAATCTGAAGTTGTAGGAAAACTTTTTCTTCTTCTACGGTTTATTCATCATCTTCTTCTTCTACTTCTGACCTTGAGCCTACTAGTAGAAGAGAAAAACTTTTTTATTTAATAAGTAGAAGGCGGAAATTTGTTAGCTCTACAACAAGTTCATTTACTGAACTTAATTTTTATTTGCAAGAAAATTTTTCTAATTTTGGTGATTTATCAAATAATTTTTCTACAGTTCCATCAGAGTCTTGTTTTAGTATAGGTACTAGGGTGCTGGATGACAAAAGAATCTGCATGAACGATGAGAGCATAGAGATGTGCATCTGCTTCAAGGATTGGCTAGATGCAGAAGATAGATTACAAGACAAGGGAGGGCATGATACAACACTGGACATTTCACCCGAAGCAGATGATGAAAGTCATGAATGATGATTCATGAATTTGATT